CCCCCTCACTCCCCTCGAACCGTCATTCCGGCATTCCAGGTGGACGGGAAGATCGTGATAGCCCCCCCGGAGCTCTCCGCCATGATGAAGCCCCCAATCCCCCGAGTGGACCTCGTCCTGGAGGGCTGCCACCTGGGCAGAGGCACCGGCTGGTCCGACGCGGAGTTCAGTCGCGAGTACCTGGTGACGACGCGGGAGGTAACAGTCTGGCACATCGACGAGCACTCCTACTCCAAGCTGGAGGCGGCCTCAGCTGGGCAGTTCTTCAGCGGCGACTCCTACATCATCCGCTGGATGTACCTGATCACGGTGACGGGGAGAGAGCTGTCGGGACAGCCTTCCAAGCACGCGGTCGAGGGCCGGGACAGGTGTGCCTACTTCATCTGGCAGGGGAAGAACGCCTCCCTGAACAAGCAGGGAACAGCCGCCCTGCTGACGGTTGAGCTCGACAAGGAGCAGGGGCCGCAGGTGAGGATCGTCGAGGGGTTCGAGCCCCCCGCGTTCCTCAACCTGTTCAGGGGGGCCATGGTTATTCACACTGGGAAGAGGGCTGAGCAGAGCTGGGGGGAGGGGGTCAGGGCGTTCTTCTGCAGGGGCAGCAGAGAGGGGGAGACGTCCCTCCTGGAGGTGCCGTTTTCCTCGAGGCAACTGAGGACGAGGGGCTGTCTCCTCTTCGTCGATGGCCGGGAGGGGGTCGTGTACGTCTGGTACGGGAGGAACTGCCTGTCCAGGGGGAAGCAGAATGCCTTCCACGCGGCCGAGGCTCTGAGGGAGAGGAAGCCCCTGGAGATGGGGCTCGAGGGGAAGGAGGTGAGGGTCGTCGAGATTGAGGAGGGGGAGGAGCCGGAGGATCTCTTCGGGGGGGGAATGCACAGGAAATTGTATGGGACCATCAGCAGGAAGGTCTCCAGGCACACCCCCAGGATGTTTCATTTCTCGAGTGTCTCAGGGGAGTTCAGCGTGGCGGAGGTCCTCTGCCCTCAGAGGGACGAGGAGAACACCGCCTTTCCGTTCCTGCAGGAGGAACTCTATCAGGCTAGTCAGCCCGCACTCTTTCTGCTGGATAATGGGGAGGAACTGTGGCTGTGGCAGGGCTGGTGGCCCAATACTGGGGAGGAGGATCAGACTGGCAGTGGGGCTGTCAGGTGGCAGGCTGAGAGGAGGGCTGCCATGACTGCGGCTGTTGAGTACTGGGGGGAGGGCAGGGGGGGCAAGAGCAGCGCGATTTATCTGGTCTGGGCTGGCCTGGAACCACTTGAGTTTATCAATCTTTTTCCCACTTGGGGGAATCGCGATGACATTGCTGAGTTAAATATGAAGGTGAGGTGTTTTTTGAAGTGAAATTTCTTTAGGGAGGGTACGAAAAATTTCAGCGCGACACGAAAAGTGAAAGGTTTTGAGGGGAACGGGTTAGTCAGTAAGTGGGGGGCTAGTCAAGCGTAGGGGAGCCGCGCGTGAGTGAAGAAAATCCGAGGCGACACGAAACATGTAAGGATCGGTAGTGGGGGTAAGCCTAGAGTGGGGCCGTACGCCTTGCTATGCCTGAGACCAGGGATGGGCATTTCGGTCTAGAGACAGTTTTTTACATTACGACGTGAAAAACTGGCAATTTATCTATAGAATGTAATAAATGTAAAAAATGTAAAAAACTCAAATAACTTGAAATTTTGACATTTGATATTGAAATTGAAATTTGAAATTGGTATTTTACATTTAAATTTTGAGTTTAAACGTGAAATTGAAATTCTAAATCAGGAACGCAAAATTGATATTTGAAATCTGCAATTGAAAATTGGGAAATTCTGAATTCTGCATTTTAAAATGATGAACTCTGAATTTTGAAATTTAGCACTTNAATTGGAATTCTTAATCTGAAATTTGAAGTAGAAAATCAAAATTGAGATTAAAAATTGCACTTGAAAATCTGAAATTGAAATTTTTTATTTGCTTCAATTCCAAAATTAAAAATTTGGATTTTGAAAATCCTGAAATTTGAATTTCCATTCTGAAATTGGAATTCTGAATTGGAAATTGAAATTTGAGATTGAAATTTTGAATGAAAATTAAAAATTGAAAACTTCAATTGAAATTTCGAATTAAAACTTTTAATATAAAATTGAAATTTGGAATTCAAATTTAAAATTGAAATTAAAAATTGCAATTAAAAATCTGAACTTGAAAATTGAAAGTTTTTATCTGCTGAATGGTAAAAAATGAAAAAAGTCATTCAAATTTTCTTGTTATTAATTTCCTAGTATCCCATCGAATTTCTATATATAATCATAATAATAATGCTTTCTCAAGCATGAGAAGCGAAAAAAAAATTTTCAGGAAAAACAAATTGGACAAAAAAATTTGAGAATACTAAAAAGAAGTTTCACTGCTGTCGCGCGTGGACTCCACGCACTCTTTTTTTTTTTTTTTTTTGGTGGCTTGGCGCTGCCGCACGTGCGAAAGGGTACGATCTAGCCATTTAATTATCGTTTTGGTTTTTCAAAGAAGAAATGTTTTAAAATCAGGATTTGACCCAGTCTTGTGTGAAAATCAACATTTTCATTGTATTCAAAGATTAGAATGATTTTTTTTCATTAGATGGGGAAAGACCAAGAATTTTTTTGACACCTCATAAAAAATAATCCAACGTTTTGCAAACAAGTTTTATTATTTATTTATGAGAGGGAAATGTTTGAAAAAATATCAATATTTTGCGAAATTTAATTTAGCAAAATATTGATTAATTTAATACTGACTGGGTATGAATTTTTTCAAATTTGAAAGCTCTGATGTTCAACTACAAATGATGAAACCAAAAAATAGAAAAAAATTATTGATGAATTTGACAATTCGCAGGATGGTCGAGGCCCCGGGGAAATGCTGTCCCTGGAGAACGAGCTGACTCGTCTGACTCAAAGTACTTATCCACCAGCTCAATTGTTACAACGACCGTTGCCCGAGGGAGTTGATCCAACGAGTCTAGAGTTGTATCTATCTCCTGCCCATTTTCAGGTAAAAAAAATTGACAAAAAAAATGAGTAATAATTTCTCAGCATTCCCCAAGAATTTCCAATTCACCTGAAAAAAAATCTATCGAATTACTCAATTATTTTGCTTTTATTTTCCCACAGGAACTATTGGGAATGAGCATGGAAGACTTCCAAAAGCTGCCGTCGTGGAAGCAGATAGAAATAAAAAAGAAAATAGGGCTTTTCTGACGTCAATTCGTCAACACGTGTAAATTATTCTCCAAGTATTTAACGTAACGAAAGCATGTCTCAAAAAAAAATTTTAATAATTCACGACTCGCCTAATTGTCCCCCAATGATCAAAGAGATGTTCCCATTTATCAAACCGATATCGCAAAAGGCTACTAAAGTATTAATCCGAATCTACAGTATAGTTTATATATTTTGAATACAGTGAAAGGAGACAGATGGAAATGAAAAATGAGAAGAACATAAATTGGCTTGTGAATATCTTACTTATATTTGTACGGGTTTTATATTTATCAATACATGTGTGTTTTAAAATTGTTTACCTCGATAACATGTACTCTCTCTCTCTTCGTCCACCCACTCGATATTTTTTACTCTCCATTCACTCCCACGACATCGTAAAATAGGGGGAGGGGTGGGGCAAAGTGGAATGGTAATGAATTTGGTTGTTCAAGGGTCAAACGGGGGGGACGAGCGAAGTGAGGCCTCCAGTCGTCTCTCCCATTAGTCTTCAGAATTTTTTGAGCGAGAGATTGAAAAAAAATGTGAGGGGTGGGCAAAACGGGCCGTGAAACTGTAGAGGCTAATTATGACTGTTTGTCGGTGGAAATTACTTATATTTGAGTTAAAATGTGGCTCCAGCATGAGTTGTCACGTCAATTTAAAAAAATTGAAAGGCAAAATGGGACAGTCTTTGACGTGAAAAAAATTCTGCAAACATTGATTCATTTGACTCGTCCCATTTTGCCCTCCCTGTGGCATTTCGTTCTCCTCTTTAAAAAAATTACGAATTCGATAACTACTTTCATCATTTTTTCAACAATTTTGAGGTGCCCCTTTTGCCCTATCATTCCACTTTGCCACATGCTCCCCAACGGAAAAAAATTGAAGCTTCACACTATTGTATCTCTCATTACAAATAACAGTTTTTAAATTCACGAACGTCCACTTTTAAAGTAATATTTTCTCGTCAACAATTAAACATTCAAAAAAAAATACTACATTTCAAAATCTCTTCAGTTTTGAAAAAAAAATTCATACGGATATGAAAAAAATTATAGTCAACAAAAAAGACGAATTGGTAAATTGAAATATTCATTTCAGAAGCGAAGAGTCAGAACAAAAAAAGTTGTTTTCACTTGAGTAGAATTTTCCTGGACATATTTCTCGTGGGAATTGACTTTTTTTGTTTTGTCCACTCATCACTCACTCATTTTCCTAAAATTAATGATAAACTTCACTTAGTAAAAGTATAATAACTGATTATTTATACCTACAGATTAATATAATACGTAATTTCAAGAATTTAGTAATAAACAAGGCCCAACGAGTCGAAAAAACGGGAGAACATCCTGCATTTCCGTTATATTTTCAATCCCAAATTGTGAATTTTCGGACGTCCCAGCTAATTACAGCATCGAATGCGGAATTTACAGAGCTAAATCCTTTAGAAAATTATCCAATTCAGGGATTATTCACGAATTACTCTGAATTAATATTGCGTTCGAGATAGATTCTACCGGTGGATATTAAAATAATTTAAATATCATCTCTTATGTATCATTTATATTTCTCTCGTGCCAATTATCTGGCATTTCTGCATCTCTGAGGTCTTTCTGTTCACTGTACCTTCTCATCCATGTAAGCTCTGATTGCATTTTGACATTCCGTTGAACACCAGTGTTGTACCAATAAATAGCTCTCGGACTCCAGGGCTGCTGCTAATTTTGATCTCAAGCTGTGACGGAGGAGGGCCTTTGTTGCTTCCATCGACTGCAAGAAGAAGGAAAATTATTTTAATTGTTGTGTCATCTGAGTTTTCTTTAATTGTGACCCTTATTCGGACCCTTACGACCCATATTCTGACCCTTAATCTGACCTTACGACCCCTGTAACCCTTAATCTAACCCTCATGGCCCTTATTCTGACCCTTACGACCTTTAACCTAACCCTTGTGACCCTTATTCTCACCCTCATGACTCTTATTTTGACTCATGTAACCCTTAATCTGATCTTGTGACCCTTATTCTCACCCTCATGACTCTTGTAACCCTTAATCTAACCCTCATGGTCCCTATTCTGACCCTTACGACCTTTAACCTGACCCTTGTGACCCTTATTCTCACCCTCATGACTCTTATTTTGACTCATGTAACCCTTAATCTGATCTTGTGACCCTTATTCTCACCCTCATGACTCTTGTAACCCTTAATCTAACCCTCATGGCCCTTACAACCCTTGTTCTGATCCTGGCGACCCTTAATATGGCCCTTATGACCCTTGTGATCCCTTAATCTGATTCTTGTGACCCTTATTCGGACCCTTACGACCCATATTCTGATCCTTAATCTGACCTTACGACCCCTGTAACCCTTAATCTAACCCTCATGGTCCCTATTCTGACCCTTGTGACCCTTAATCTGATCTTGTGACCCTTATTCTCACCCTCATGACTCTTGTAACCCTTAATCTAACCCTCATGGCCCTTACAACCCTTGTTCTGATCCTGGCGACCCTTAATATGGCCCTTATGACCCTTGTGATCCCTTAATCTGATTCTTGTGACCCTTATTCGGACCCTTACGACCCATATTCTGATCCTTAATCTGACCTTACGACCCCTGTAACCCTTAATCTAACCCTCATGGTCCCTATTCTGACCCTTGTGACCCTTAATCTGATCTTGTGACCCTTATTCTCACCCTCATGACTCTTGTAACCCTTAATCTAACCCTCATGGCCCTTACAACCCTTGTTCTGATCCTGGTGACCCTTAATATGGCCCTTATGACCCTTGTGATCCCTTAATCTGATTGTTGCGACCCTTATTCGGACCCTTACGACCCCTATAATCCTTAATCTAACCCTCATGGCCCTTACAACCCTTAATCTGATCCTTGTGACCCTTAATCTGACCCTTGTGAACCTTAATCTGGTTCTCCTGACCCTTACGACCCATATTCTGACCCTTAATCTGACCTTATGACCCCTGTCATTACTATTTTTGTTTTTGATATCCGTTGAATTAGACGTGTAATACAGTAAACGTAAATTTTTTTTAGTTTTTAGAAGAAAAAGTATTCTTGGACGAATGGTTTTCGGATCAAACGACCCCTAAGACTTCCCGTCATTAAATCCACTCTCACATTCCAGAAACCCCAAGACCTTTGTGATACTCCACATAAAGAAATACGCAATGAATATTAAAATGACGATGTCCCAATGGTTTTCTAAAATCCCAAGTGGTACACGTGGGTGGTGTGTGGGATCACACAGACAATCCATTCGAAATTATTTCCAATATCGCTTCAAACTCGGAAAACGTCAGTTTATCCTGCACCATGTGGGTCTTTGCAGCTGTTCTCCTCGCTCTCACAGTCATCTGTGATGGCAGGTACATGAGGATCAAGAGCAAGCCGCGGGATGTGTTCTTCAAGTATCGGGAGGGGGTGAGTACAAGGCAACACTAATGAGACATTTTTAGTTGAATAACTCGTCCTGATGGATTCGTTAGTCCTAGGGCTGTCTTAATCCAATAGTCTGGCTGTCTTATGTCCAACTATTTCGACTAGACTCACGGAAAATTCGATCAATTCCGAGAATAGTGGGACATTGGGATACTGAGAAGGTATTTGTTATTAAAACGCTGGGTATAACTGGCAAAAGTTATGAAGTTAAAAAGAAATAAAATACAAAATAAAACAAATACGTGAACTGAATAACGAATGAAAACTAATCTGCAATGAAAAATAATCCGAAAACAAAGTTATAACATAAATAATTCATAAGATTCATTTGTAATAATTACGTTGTATTTTGGCTTTCCCTTATGCGATTTTTGTATCTCAGGGAAACAATAAATTGCTTCCAATCTAACCGAGAATAAATTGAACTCTTCAGGTGACAGGGGAGAAAACCCTCCCCAAATGTCGGCCCCACGACGCCTGCAACATTCTCTACAAGCGATTCTGGACGGATGACATTGTGGAAAGACTCTGCAGATGTCCTAGTGGTGACGAGTGTCCATGGACCGATGAATTCGACAATCACACGATGAGTATCAACAACAGATCCTATCTGAAGGTACACCTGCTCCACCTACTCCCCAAACAATTGATCTCATGAATTGTTGAATTCACAGTTTTGTGAGCCTGTGAATCACGAGAATATCTGCAAGCCCCGTAAAACCGCAGCTGTTGTTCGTGGAGAAATAGACGAAGACCCCCAGAACCTGACGGTCCACAGGGTCAGAGTCAATTGCTACTGCCCGAGTACTCATTACTGGCATGTCCAGAGCTACGATTACAACGACAACAAGGTTCATCAGCACTTCAGGTGCTCCAAGGTGAGGGACAAAATTCAGTAGCGAAGTGGTCAACCGGTTCAAGTCGACTTTGGCCATTGGCCAGTTTTCAATGAATATCTCGAAATCTAAGGGAGATAGCAAAATTTCCCTCATGACATTTTTAATAGCGCTCAGTTCGCTCTACAAAAAAGGTCATTATGAAAATTCCGCCATCTCCCTTAAATTCGGAGATATTTCTGGAAAACTGAACTTAAGACTAAATTGACTGGAACCGTTTGACTACTTCGTCACTGATTTTGTTCATCTGATTGTCAATGGGAATTTTTCATGTTGACGCTTTCATTATCTCGTGATTCTTCGTGACAGCAAAGAATGTGCTGGAGCTATGAATTCTGCGGACTCGTGAGAACCGATTTCTATTCAACTTACTATCGGTGCTCGTGCCCAACTGGAAATTTGTGCATCAATAGGGATAAGGAGTTGGAGAGCGTTCAGGAGTTTTTGTATTCAGGAGATGCTATAAATGCCTACTGCCATCCTTGGAATATAAGCAGTAGATATTACTGACGGGGACTGAGGAATTTTTTAAAATTTTTTGTACTGAAATTAATTTGGAGAGAATATTTTTACCGCAGGGCCTTCTTTGGTTTTAGAATTTTTTCGAATGTTTCGTAAAGATTTCAGTGGCCGTCATCGAGGCTAGATTATAATTAGTTGGCACATACCTGTGAAGATTGTTCACTCATAGCTCGGAGGGAAGGCAACAGTTCAACGTGAAATCGGTCTGGCCAGAGAACTCTTGTGACAAGCCCAGCTCTGAGTGCTTCATTGGCAGTTAAGGTTCTACCTCCCAGCAGAAGTTCACTCGTCTGCAAAAAATTATATGAAATTTAAATGTAGAAGTGATACGTGGGGGCAAATGTTTCTGAAAAAAATTATATGACTTTTTTATTCCCATTTTTTTGTGATAACCAAAAACTTTACTATAAAAAATATACATTTTGTTCTTTGGAAAGTTTTAACGTTGAGGTGATTTTTTTTGCCTCAGGAATTGTTTTTTTTAGTTTTGGTTGTGGGTCAAATGGTCATGAGGGTAAAATGGTTTCAAGGACTTTCGGAGTAGAGGGTCAAATTGTATGAACGGTCATTTGACCTTTAACCCTAAAGGTTTTCTAGGGTTAAACGCCCCTTAAGGGACTTTGACCCTCAACTCAAGTTATTTTTGGGACAATTTGACCTTCAAGACCATTTGACCCTCAACTCCAAACGCCCTCCAGACCATTTGACCCTCAATTTCAAACGTCCCTAAGACCATTTGACCCTCAACTCCAAACGTCCTCGAGACCATTTGACCCTCAATTTCAAACGTCCCTAAGACCATTTGGCCCTCAACTCCCAACGTCCTCGAGACCATTTGACCCTCAACTCCCAACGTTCTTAAGACCTTTTGACCCTCAACTCCAAACGTCCTTAAGACCATTTGACCCTCAACTCCCAACGTCCTCGAGACCATTTGACCCTCAATTTCAAACGTTCTCAAGCCATTTGACCCTCAACTCCAAACGCCCTCGAGATCGTTTGACCCTCAACTCCAAACGTCCTTAAGACCATTTGACCCTCAACTCTAAACGCCCTCGAGATCATTTGACCCTCAATTTCAAACGTCCCTAAGACCATTTGACCCTCAATTTCAAACGTCCTTATGACCATTTGACCTTCAACTACAAACGTTCTCAAGGCCATTTGACCCTTGACTCCAAACGTCTTCGAGATCGTTTGACCCTCAACTCCAAACGTTCTTAAGACCATTTGACCCTCAACTCCAAACGTCCTTAAGACCGTTTGACCCTCAACTCCCAACGTTCTGATGATTATTTGACCCTCAACTCCAAACGGCTTTAAGGGTCATTTGAACCTTAAGACCATTTGACCCTCAACTCCCAACGTTCTGATGATTATTTCACCCTCAATTCCAAACGACTTTAAGGGTCATTTGAACCTCAAGACCGTTTGACCCTCAACTCCAAACATCCTTAAGACCATTTGACCGTCAAACCCTCTCCCCCTAAAAAAATCATCAATAAAAACTCACCACAGCACTTCCCAAAACATGTGAAAGCGTGAAGACAGCAGCCCCCTCAGCAATCTGCCCAAGTTTCCCATAAGGAGTGCTGAAGGATGCTTTATCACTGGCGATAACCAGATCAAAAAGAGGCAACATGGTGACTCCCAGCCCAACAGCCGAGCCCTGCACCCCGGCGACAATGGGCTTATTAAAAGTAGCTAAACTCTTGATGAAGTCCTTGACCCCATCCGCCAGTAATTGAGCGTTGGCCCTCCTAACGTCCTTATTCTCCTCCAGCAAAGTCGAGAGTTCCAGGCCTTCGCAGAAGCTGGAGCCCGTCGAGGTGAGTAAAACCATCCTGCAGTCGTCGTCCTTCTTCAGGATCGACAGTACCTCCCTGAACTCCTGCATCATCTGCAGGGTGATCCCATTCCTGATTTTCGAAGTCGTCGAGGGCGTCAGGATCAACTGCACCAGGTTGGCGTGCCTCTGGACGTTGATCTCCTTGTTACTGAACTGAGCCTTCCCGTCCTTTCCCCTCTGCTCCCGGGACTTTCCTTTCCTATTAAGTACGGAATTCTTTCCCCGCGTCGCGGAGTCATTGGCCAGGGCGGTGACAGCCTCAGCGAGACACGCGGAAAGCTCGTCCTCCCCGGCCATCCCTTGCGGGATATGTAATCCATCCAGCAGGTCATCCTCATCCTCCTCCAGGCAGCTGTCGTCCAAGTCCGCGTGCTTGGCGAAGGTCACTTTATTCTTCTGGCTCTTCCTGGGCTTGCCGAGCCTCCCGGCAGTGCCATTCGACCTCAACGCCCCCGACTTCTCGTCCTCCTCCTCGTCGTCCTTCATCGGATCCTTCGATATCATCATCTTCTTCCGCTCGACGGGCTTCCCCTTGCCGGCGGGTGACTTCCCTCTGTCCAGGGACTTCTTCGCCTTCTTCCCCTCGACCTTCTTCCTCTCCCCCAGGGGATGACTTCGCTTCCCGGACTTCGGGAGATGCCCCCTCCCGTCGTCGTAGCTCATCTGCCTGTCGTTGCTGTCGACGCTGACCCTCGGGCTGCCTGACGCACTCGAGAATGAGCTCGACGAGTGCCTCCGGACGATCACCGATGCGTCCGCGGCGTTCCTGATCTTCGCGGGGAGCAGGAACTCGTCCCCTGGGATTGACGATTTCGTCGGCGTCGCAGTCGGCGACTCCGGCTCCTCCAACGAGCCGCTCCCAGCGGAGATTCGCTTCGCCCGGGGGGCGCTGGCCCCAGGTCCCGCCGAGGTCCTCAGCCTCAGGACTGCGTTCTTCACGAGTTTCGTCCGGATCTTGAGCTCCCGCTGGACCTTCTGGATGTCCATGACTTTGGCTTGAGACTTTGTGACCGGGACCAGGCGCCGTCTCTGCGGCTGCTCGACGTCGTACAGCAGGTTGACGACACCCTCGTCCTGCAGGAGTCGATCGATCTCGTTGACGGTTTTCTTTCGCTTGGGAGCGCCGTCCGGGGACCCCGGCTTCGGGGACTTCCTCGTTCTGAGGGCGTTCGCGGGCTTCTGGGGGACCTTGCGGACGATTTTTTTCCCGGGCGACGGGGATTTCGAGTCCTTGAGCGATCGCTCTCTCGTTTTCTCCGGGGGGGTCTTCACCCTCACGACCTTCTGTCGCTTCGCCGTTATCTCGTGCTCCCGCGCCTTCTCCGTGGGCTTCCGCTTCCGCCCGGACCTCGTCTCGTCGACCTTGAACTCCTCGACGCTCTCGTCCTCCTCGAGGATCTGCTTCGGCACCACCGGCGACTTCCTCGGGGATATCCGGGGCTTCTTCGAGGTCATCGGGAGCTCCAGGAGTTGCTTCAGCGCCAGCTGGCGCTCCGTCAGGGGATCGAGCTTCGGGGGGCTGTTGTCGTCCTCTGGTTTGACGTTCTGATCCGGACTCGACTCGACCGTGAGCTTCGGCGGCTTGAGGTCCGACCAGTCCGGCTCGACGTCGCCCTCCAGGATCGCCAGGAGCTCCTTGCTGTCCGACGACGGCTCGTCGACGCTCTCCGGGGGTTTCTTCTCCTCTTGCTTCAGGGGAACTTCCGCCGGGTCGAGCGCGGCCTTCGGCGGGGGCTCCGGGGTCGACTGGACCTGGGGGGACGGCGCCCTCGACCTCGTCTTCGGGGACCTCGGGGCTCTCTCCTCCAGGAGGCTCTTCAGCTGGTCCTCGACGGCGTCGGGAACCCTCGACAGCTCCTCCTCGACGGCGTCGGGAACCCTCGACAGCTCCTCCTCGACGGCGTCGGGAACCCTCGACAGCTCCTCCTCGACGGCGTCGGGAACCCTCGACAGCTCCTCCTCGACGGCGTCGGGAGCCCTCGACATCTCCTCCTCCTCGACGTTCCCGTCGCTCCAGTCCTCGTAGATGACCTCGATGACCGATCGCGCCTTCGGCTCCTGGGGCTCTGGCTTCACCGCCTCCGGGGGCGCCCCCTCCGCCGGGGCCTCCGGGCACTCCGGATCCCCCGGGTCCTGGACCGGAATCACGATTATCTCCTCGATCAGCTGGATCGTCTCCACTTTCGCCTCGGGGCTTTCCTCGGCCTCCCCTGGCGGCGAATTCTCCTCTTCGGGGGCCTCCGGGGCACCCTCGGACTTCGCGATTACCTCCCCCGGGGGGGCCGGGGGCACCTCCTCCGGGGGGGCTTCCTTCTTCTCGGGGATTTTCGCGTCCGCAGGCGCCTCCGACCTGGGGATCGGTCGGCGATTTTTTTCCTCCTCTGGGGCCGCCTCCACCTCGGCCTGAGGGCTCGCCCCGTTCTCCTCGGTTTTCAGGACCTCCTCGGGCTTATTCAGGCCGTCGTCCAGGATTGACTTGATCTCAGGCCAATTTGTCATCTCTTTTTTTATGACTTCAGGGTCGGGGACTCCGGTCTCTCCCATCTTCACGGGATTATCGACTTCCTCTTTATTCATTGTTATCGATGATAAGTATCGGTCATCGGGGGCTCAGGCTCGACGTCACTTCCATGAAAGGGATTTCTCTCTCTCGGTTTTACGATAATTTCATAGTTACCTCTTACGACGATCTCCAGGCTCGGCGATAAGGAATGGGGCTTCCTTGATTAGGTTAGAAATCAATTGTTGACAATTCACGGGACTCCTCAGCACTTCACTCAACGATATTTACGTATTTACTTCGGGTTTTGGCTCATTTATTCCGTATTTACGGGCACTCGCGGCGCGCTCGCGCTCATTAATTGCTCGGTGAGTCTTTTTACGTTCTCGCGGGGCAGTTGGGGTCTGCAGGACGTAAATATTCGTGATAATGTGGTATTTACTTTTCTAGTGGGGCTCACAGTGTCGATATTTTAGATGGGGCTTCGCCATGATCGGGCAGCCGCCATTGCACTTCATTCACTACGACAGACACTCGGGAAAATGAGTGGGAGTTCGCTTTATTTTTTTTGGGATCGCCACCGAGGCACCTTATCCCTCTGGCGGGAGGGCTCAGCGGCTTGCAGGTGGAAATTATGACGGAATATTTATTTGTTTTGACGTATAGACGGTCGGAAAGTCGAAAGATAGCATATAGCATCCTGAGGAGCGATTTTACGCGTTTTATGTCGACATAAAATCGTCAATTTCAACCAATGACTGTCCTGGATTCGGAATACTCAACTAGGATTGGTTGAAATTTATGATTTTATGTCGACATAAAACGAGCAAAATCGCTCCCATAATTTGTGCCTTAAAAATCATCTAAGGTTTGACCGAAAAATAGCCCGCGGATAATACAGAGTATGAATATACCGGTCGATTCTCTCATTGTATGGAATATTTAGGTTTGCTGAGGGTCGGGACAGAAGGGGGGGAGGGTTTTTGAGGGCGAGAGTGCACCTCGGGGGGTCTACGTGCAGGGGAGCGATTTTGCTCGTTTTATGTCAACATAAAATCGTCAATTTCAACCAATGACAGTCCTGGATTCGGAATATTCAACTAGGATTGGTTGAAATTTATGATTTTATGTCGACATAAAACGAGCAAAATCGCTCCCATAATTTGTACCTTAAAAATTATACAAGGTTTGACCGAAAAATAGCCCACGGATAATACAGAGTATGAATATACCGGTCGATTCTCTCATTGAAAGGAATATTTAGGTTTGCCGAGGGTCGGGGCAGAAGGGGGTCAGAAGGGGGGAGGGTTTTTGAGGGCGAGGGTGCACCTCGGGGGGTCTACATGCCAGGGGAGCGATTTTACGCGTTTTATGTCGACATAAAATCGTCAATTTCAACCAATGACAGTCCTGGATTCGGAATACTCAACTAGGATTGGTTGAAATTTATGATTTTATGTCGACATAAAACGAGCAAAATCGCTCCCATAATTTGTGCCTTAAAAATCATCTAAGGTTTGACCGAAAAATAGCCCGCGGATAATACAGAGTATGAATATACCGGTCGATTCTCTCATTGTACGGAATATTTAGGTTTGCCGAGGGTCGGGGTAGAAGGGGGGAGGGGTTTTGGGGGCGAGAGTGCACCTCGGGGGGTCTACGTGCAGGGGAGCGATTTTGCTCGTTTTATGTCGACTAAAATCATAAATTTCAACCAATCCTAGTTGAGTATTCCGAATCCAGGACTGTCATTGGTTGAAATTTACGATTTTACGTCGACATAAAACGAGCAAAATCGCTCCCCAGGGTTCGGCGACGGCCTGGGACGTGCGGCCACGCCATTGGCGGATTTCGGCGGGAATTTTTGAAATTTGGCAAGGGGAAAGCAACTTCGAGGGGAGCTTTTGGTGGAGATCCTGGAAAAATATTGATTTTCTTGAACATTACAAAATTTTGATGACTTCATGAAAATTTTATTTTATTATTTATTTCATTTTATTATTAATTTTATTTTATTATTCTTTAAAAAACAAACAAGGAGCATCCCAAAACTAAGAATAAAAATAATAAACGAAAATAAAAATAAATGAAATAAAAATTCATCCCGGGGCTCACAATAATTGAAACTGATGCTGATTGATCGAAAGCTTTTTATTTATGCCCTGGGGTAGAATAACACCCCTAAGGCCAACGACAAGATTACAATACAAATTATGACTCATTTACAAAGATTTACAGAATAATACCCATGAAAATGAAGTAAAGTTCAGCTGAAGAAGAAAGCAATAGCTGGAAGAAATATATCTAAAAGGCGGAAAATTACAGAAAATAATTCAGAAATCTAAGAGTGGCCACTTTGTAGTACTACTTAGTATTTTATATAATGCGACTATTCATCTACTATCATTATATTGATTATAGTAATTAGTGAGGACAATGTATGACCATGTTTGCTCTCGGGGAATTTTCTTCATGGCTTTTGATGGGCATTTGGGACGTGACTATAGCCAAGGGGAAAGGAATAATATTGGCCCCTCGTTTTGACCCCTGAGAATTGGCCCTCATTTTGACCCTTGAGTTAGCTATTTGACCCACGTGATCGAATACACGTGACTCAGGCCTCTTTCTCTGTCGATTTTTTCGAGATTCAATTCTCGATTGCTCTATTTTAGAGTATCAGACTGGTAATCCAAAGGTCGTGGGTTCAAACCCATGATTTGTTGTTGGTAGGGAATAAATAAAATAAATATCAATGAGTTCCACTGACGAGCAGACGTCATCCCATCCCTCGTGGCCCCAAATTTGGAACCGTAGCCATAACATAAGATTCTTTATTAAATTCCAACTTATACAAACATTATCTATAATTTTTTTTTCCAATTAAAATCCTTGGGTTCAGAACCCAGTGACATTTTTAATCGCTTGCTGCTCCTCCAGAGGCCCCATCCTCTTATAACTATCAAACTCCAACGAGAAATTGCCAGTTCCGGAGGTCAAAATCCTCAACTTCGTGGCGTAACCGAGAAGTTCGCTCAGGGGAGCCAGACTCCTGATGATTTTATCGTCCCTCCTCACAGTGATCTCCTGGATCTCTGTCCTCCGTCTCCCCAGGTCCCCCAGGACGCCTGGTGCGTACGCCTCAGGCGTCACTATTTCCAGCCGCATGATTGGCTCCAGCAGGACCACTCCGGCGTCCTCCAGGAGCTGAAATAACCATTGACTTTATTTTTTCTTCGGCCCTGACTTTTTTCGTTGCACATGAATTTGGGATAATGAATTTGAAACACTTTTTTTAGTTATCGTAAAAAAACCGATTTTTGAAAAAATTCGAAAATGTTTTAAACGCGTTAATGAATTGAATTTCAATTAATGGCAGTAGATGGGGCTCCGTAAGAACTGGTGAATAATTAAAGAAAATAGTATATGAAGCGCGTATACTATTTTTTATTGCGAAAAGCCCGTGGGGGTTGGGGGTGGGGGCGTGGAGCGGGGTCCAGGGGGCGCAGCCCCCCGGGGGGGGTTGGGGGGGCGGAGCCCCCCCCACTGAAAAAAAAACAAATTGCAAAAGAAAAAAAAANTCACCAGATCCTGCTCCAAATCTACAGTTGAATCAACTTCTACGTTCCCATCCAAATATCAATCTCAATTTTTACAATTGCTCAAATTTTAAAGTATTTGATAAAGAAAATAAGGAAAATAAGTGAATCTCGAGATCTTAGTTGAGATAGATGGGCATAACTGATTGTTTTGTTAGATTTTATTATTTAAACTATGAGTATTATTCTTGCGTTTACGTTGTAGTTTATTTCAGAGTTTCAATAAAAAATTTTCTATGAAATGATATTTCTAATATTATTATTATCAAAATTAAGATTTTTTAATAATTTATTTTTCATTTTAATTTTCAGGTGTATTTTCAAATTTAAAATTTAACAATTTTGAAGATAATGAAGGGGATTCACTGGCTGAATTTATCAGTTTTTATATGTAGTTTTATATTTTGGTACATTAACGCTGGGGTGGCGCCACACGTTTTTCAGTCCTAAGGAGTGCAATTCTCACTTTTTCACTCCTAAGTAGTGCATTTCTCACTTTTATACTGCTCAACGGTAAAAAGACCTACTTCTCATGCTTGAGCAATGAAAATTGCATTTTCGGACTTTTTGTTTCCTAATGGTTTGATATAACACAAAAAATCGAAAACTCAAATTTGGTCGATTACAATGCTTCCATTCGGAAGCAAAAATATGGAAAACATAAAAATCGATCATTTGCAATGCTGTGAATGAAAATATGATGAATTCTTTCCTATAAAATATAAAAAAAATATTTTTTCGAAAGAAATTAAAGTTTTGTTACTGATGACAAAATGGTCAAAGAATCTAGCCACATTGATTCTCGACAACATGAGGATAAACCAACGGGGACTGACCTTCCGTATGCACTGAGAGACCGCGGAAGCCACCATGGTCTCAGAAGTCCCCTTCCCCACCTCCAGCCAATGCAGCTTGACCCCGACCTTGATGACAGGGCACCCCAGCCTGGGTCCGCAGTTCAAAGCAGAAGAAACTCCACTCTTGACAGCCCCCATGAACCTGGGGTGAACCGCCGCTAGATTGGACGCACTCTCTCTCGTGTTATCCATCAAGAGCAGCTCCTCCCCTTCGTAACAATCGATGAGACTCATGGTGACAGTGACATCATGCTTTGTGCTCCCGACCACATGATGCAGCTCGAAGGAGTCCTTGATCCTCCTCCCGATGGTCTCCTTGTAGGCGATCTGCAGAGGTCCCAAGTCCGCATGAATCTTGTACTCGGTCCTGATCCTCTCCTTGATGATCTCGATGTGGAGCTCTCCCATGCCAGACAGCACCGTCTGCCCCGTCTCGGAGTCAACGGAGACCCTCAGGCTGGGGTCCTCCCTCTCGAGCTCCTGAAGAGCAGTGTCCAAAGCCGACTGATAAGCCATGGAGGGTGGCTCGATGGAGCAGAAGAAGACGGGGTCAGGCACCCTGGCAGGATCAAAGAGACCCCTCCTGTCCGCCTCCTCCACGTCCCTCCTCTGGAGGATCTCCTTGGCCCGGGCGACAGCGGTGACACTTCCAGTCAACAAATCCCCAGTAATCGTGGACTTGAGACCCCCCAGGGCTGCTATATTCCCCTCGCTGACCTCGGCAATCTCCTCGTAGTCGTCGGCGTAGGCTGCGTAGAGCTTCCCCCCTTGTTCAGTCTTCTCCCTCTGGACGTTGTAGACCCTCTGCCCCTTCGACAGCTTCCCCGTGAAGACTCTGAAGAAGGTGATGGGCCCCCTCTGCTTGTCGTGGATCACCTTGAAGGCCCTCGCTGCGAAGGACTCCCTGAAGCAGCTGTACAACTTGGCCTTCTGGTGGTGATTCGGTGACGGAAGGTAGAAGACAGCAGCGTCCATCAGCAGCTGGACCCCCACGTTCTTGTAGGAGCTGCCGAGGAGAACGGGAACTCCTCTTTGGGCCAAGGTCGTTCGTCTCAGCGACTCCAGGAGGAGCTCCCCTGGTATATCGTCGAGGGACTCCTGCTCGATTATCTTGTCCGCCAGGTTGTCATCCAGCTCTGACAGCTTGTCCGTGAGCGATCTTCTTCGCTCTCTAGCTAGGCTCAAGGCCTCCGGGTCCTCCAGCTTCTGACGCTGGACCTTGCGACCTTGATTGCTCCTGTCGAAGGTCACGGTCTCGAGGGTCAGCAGGTCAACTATCGAGAGCTCCGAGTTGTTCTTCAGGGGAATTTGAACTGGAAGTGGTGTCACGTCGAACTTGGTCTCGATGGAGGTCAGGCACATGTCGAAGTCGGCGTCGGCTCGGTCCATCTTGTTGCAGTAGACGATCCTCGGGAGGGAGTATCTGTCCGCCTGTCGCCAGACCGTCGTCGTCTGGGCCTCCACCCCTGCGGAACTGTCCAGGATCACCACCGCCCCGTCCAGCGCCCCCAGGGTCTGCTCAACCCCCATTGTGAAGTCTATGTGACCTGGGGTGTCTATCAGGTTCAGGCGGTGCCCCTTCCAGGCGAAGGTCACCGCCGCCGAGGCGATCGTTATCCCTCGCTGGCGCTCCTGCTCCATGAAATCGGTTACCGTGTTCCCGTCGTGAACCTCACCCATGTTCGGGATGCTACCGGAGTAGAACAACATCCGCTCGGTCGTTGTCGTCTTGCCTGGGGATTCAAAGTGACGGGAAACACGAAAATGAGGGGAACCGGCAATTTCTGATTGTGAGGGATCGTTTAGACCCTCATGACCCTACGATGCGATTTGTGTGAAATTTGCCTCATTTTGAGGCGTGAAAAATATTGTTAAAGAAGATTTTTTAGTCAAATAATTTGGGGCGAAATTAATAATACTAGCGTATGGAGCGCGCTGCGCGCGCCTTTACCCGGAGTATGGGTGTCTATGTTTCTTTTAGCACAAAGGTATGGTTCCCAGCAAATTCATGTCCGGTTCAATTTTATCTATTTGTTCTGAACTTTTTTACTTTTCATATTTGATTTACAAAAAAAATTAATTAAAAAATTGAAAAGAAACTAAAAAAACTTTTTTTTTTAAATACAACATCATATAATTTCTATAGGGGACGGTGGGGCAAAATGAAACACGGGGCAAAATGAAACAGCAAGAAAATCTTGTGATCTAAGGGAGATAGGACGATTTTCATGAAAACCTTTTTTGTAGCTTGTAAAATTCTTTACAAAAAAGGTCCTCTTCAAAAATGTCCTATCTCCTTTAGATGACGAGATTTTCCCACTGTTTCATTTTGCCCCATGCTCCCCTATATATTTCTAATATATATATATATATAAATAAATTCTATTCTATTCTATATATATATACATATTCTACTATAATAAAAATAATCAATTAAATGCAAAAAGTTAATTAAAAAAAAATTTTAAGTGTATTAAATTTTTTAATTCATAGATTTAATTAATTTTTAAATTTTTCAAAATCAATAATACATTATATATGGTATATATTATATATACTATATATATAATGTATTATATATATGATATATTATATTTTTTTTTAATATTAATTTTTTTTTCTCATTTTTTATACGTGATAGCTAAGCTATGCCGCAAAAAACGGTGACAAAAAACGTTACATGCTTTTTTTTAAAGGGGAAAATAGTACAAATTAAAACGTCATGTCCGTGGAAAAAGACAGGAGATAAAAGAATCTTTCATAGTTTTTCAATTTCGACTCAATTCCGACAAAAGTTAACAGTTAATTCACACTCTAAATACATGAAATCATCAATAATAATAATAATAATTATAATAAAAGATAGAAATGAGGAAGTTGTTTTGGACATTTATCCAATTTTTTTCTGAAATTGTCGATACACTGGAAATTTTTATCAAATTTAATTACCAGTGTAATTTTAAGGAATTTCGTCATTGAAAATTTAGAATTTCGTAGAAATATCAAACAGAACTAAATTTCAGTTCCATTTTTTCCTGAAAATAAATAGAAAACTAGACGATTTTGGTAAATATATTCTTGAATTTTCAAGACAGTGACACTAAATGTGATTTCGGGGAAAAAATTATGAAATTTCAGAATGGAAATTCAAACGAATTAAGGAATTCTCGTCTTTATGCTGTTTACAATTTTGGAATTTTACTGAATTTTCAGTGAAACCTGAAATTTCAGGATTTTTCCCCCTAAATTGCATTCAGTGTTACTGTCCTGAAAATTAGTAGTCAACTGTCCATGAAGTTTCATTTTTTTTCAACAGTGTATTCCCTCTCTTGAAAAGTTGTCGCCCCGACAACAACGCGTCTGTTAAAGGCAATTGTAGTGAAATTTCAGTTAATCTAGATAAAGAGAAGAGACAACAGCTCGTTTTTTTTTCTATAGACTGGGGTAAAATGGACACTTTTGACTTATTTTTAAATGTTAATGACTTGTTGAAATGTTGATGAAATTTAGTAATTTTTTTTTCAATGCAAACAACAATTCTCTCCCTTTCATGAGCTTAAACTGATCTCAATTAATAAATTTGTTTCTCAGTTATGAATAATGTTAAAAAAGTCTAGTGTCCATTTTACCCCAACTCCCACTATTAAAGAGAAATTCCAATTAAGAGACATAACGACCAGATTTTTTGCAAATTAGCCATAGAAAAATAGCCAATTGTGGAACAGTGAAGACAGTGGGTTTTTCCTAGCCTCAAAATTTTTGGTAGGAATGCTCACCAGCGTCTATGTGCGCCATGATTCCGATATTCCTGATCCTCTCCAGGTCGGTTTTATCACTCCCCGCGGTTGCGGAGAAATTCCGCTTGTGGTAGAACCTTCTTCTGATCTTCCAACACACATTTTTTCCGAAATATCGGATCAACATTGGGAATGGGCGATTGATAACAACGGAATTCGCCGGATCCACGTGAAACAAACCGGAAATTCTTCCGACATTTTGAACGGAAGAAAATCATCGAAAAATGTTGAAAATTTTTCGAGTCAAGCAAGAGGTGAAAAATTCATAATTTGATGTAATCGATTTTTTAATTGAAATTAGACGTGAAATTGACTGGAACTTTAAAAAAAAAATGGTTGAAATTTTCGAAATAATCAAAATGAAAGTAAAATGGGTCTGCGCATGCGCGGTGGAGTAGTCCACTTGCGCTTGCGCTAGCTCTCCAACCCGCCGCCATGTTGGATTGGGCGAGTGTTTTTTCGGTGGGCGCATGCCGGAGCTTGGAGTTGCCCTCAAACACAACAGATTTGTTTACTCGGCGAACATTCAGAGTGAAGGGCACCCGGTGTGGGTTCAAACCTCCACAAAGCCAAAACAAAGGACTCAGTTGAGGCCCCAAGTCCAGATTTTACGACGTGACGCCGATTTTCGTCGAGTTGACGAGTAATTTGGACGATTTGTGGTGTTTTTATCGCGATAGTTGAGCCAGAGTGGCTTTTTGTCGAGTTAACGAGTGACATTGAATGATTTGTGATGTTTTTATCGCGATGATTGACTCAGAGTTGCTGTTTGGTGGGTCAACAAGTGATATTGGACCGAAAAATTCGTTTATTTGACGAAGATTTGGAGTGAAGGGCACCCGGTGTGGGTTCAAACCTCCACAAAAGCCAAAACAAAGGACTCAGTTGAGGCCCCAAGTCCAGATTTTACGACGTGACGCCGATTTTCGTCGAGTTGACGAGTGATTTGGACGATTTGTGATGTTTTCATCGCGATAATTGAGCCAGAGTGGCTTTTTGTCGAGTTAACGAGTGATATTGAACAATTTGTGATGTTTTTATGTGATAATTGACCCAGAGTTGCTTTTTGTTGTGACTGTGGAACGTTTATAGTGAATTTTTCAGTGTTTTAAGGATAGTGTCGGTGTGTTTTGAGTGTCTAGTGTTAATTTTGCGTGGAAAAAATTGGGAAATGATTTTTTTTGTGGGGTTTGAGGTCATTTGGAGGAACTGTGGGAGTATTTCATGCTTTAGGGTTTCAAAAAATATTAGTTTCGATCACGGAGGGGAGTGGGATGAGTCATTTCGTGAGTATTAGTGCATTTTCTGTCGATTTTCTTGGAAAGAAAATATTTACAAAATTCCGAAAAATGGAATCTGTTGATTTAAACAAATTTCTTAATCAATTTCATTCGTCAGGGGAAAGAAAATCAGGTTTTTTGATAATATAAGTGCATTCTAAAGTTAATTTTCGCCAGAAAAATGACAGAATAGAAGGAAATTAATTTTATTTACTGTCTTATGTTCTTTTAGAGTCATTTTTCTTCATTCACTGAATGATTTCCTTCATTTTGCTTTCTTATTTGAATATTTTGCATAGACTTTCACAAAAAGAGAATATTTCATGCTTCAGGGCCTTCAAAAAAATTATTTTTCACTATTGAGAGAAATAAAATGACTAGTTTCTTGCGTTTTAGTCAATTTTTTGTCGGTTTTCATTGAAAAAAAAATATTTCCACAATTTAGAGAAATTAAATATTTTCTTTTTTGTTGATTTATCCAATTTTCTTCATTAATTTCGTTCATCCGAGGAAAAAAATCAGTTTTTTGAGAATATAACTGCATTCTACTATCAATTTTCACCAGAAAAATGACACAATAGAAGAAAATTATTTTCATTTTACTGAATTTTCAAATAAAATGACTCGTTTCGTGTATTTTAGTCCATTTTTAGTCGATTTCTTTTGAAAAATAAATTTCACAAAAATTAGAGAAATGAAATATTTCCTTTCTCGTTGATTTATCCAATTTTCTTCAACAATTTCGTTCACCGGAGGAACAAAATCAGTTCTTTGAGAATATAAGTGCATTTTTATATCAATTTTCACAATTAAAATGAGAAGAAAGAAAAAAAATTAATTTTGTTTTACTGCCTCGTGTTGATTTAGACATTCTCCTTGACTCAGTGAATTATTTTCCCAACTTTTAACAATTCTGTGAGTGTAAGTGCATTCAAGAGGATAAACTCCACGGAAATAACGAATTCACCAGTTCGAGAGGTGAAAACGGAGCTGTTGTTTTCACCCACCGCCGGTGAGTGATCTGTCTAATAATTAAAAAAATACTAATATGAGAAAGGGTAATTGAAAAGCAAAAGCAAAATATTAAAATTGTTTTATTCCATTACTCTTTATCCTCATATCTCAAAAATATATCGTATCAATGTGTATTACAATGTCCATACACTTCATCATCGAGTACATTCCCACGAATATCGACTGTGAAGTTGAAATATTTATAATCACAATCATCAAACGCGTCTGAATATATTAATATTGCTTAAGGTCATGTAAAATCTTCATAGACTATCAAATATCTTCACATCGTATTACGAGTTAAATCAATAAATCGCAAAAATGTTGCACAATTTTCTCGAAAAATCGACAATACAAAAATTAATTTCTCCATTAGTTGTGAAATCATGGCTCGTGATGCATAAATAGGATTCAATCATGCGGTGAGTGTTCGAAAATTCAGGAATGAATTTGAGCAGAATGAACACTCAGGAATGAACTAGAGCCCGATACGACAAGAGGCAAAACGAACTTTTTATCATCTCCAATATCTCCGGATCCAACGATGCAATTTTCATGACTCACGTCTCATTTTTAAGACGACAAAAATACCTTCAAATTGAAAAAAAAATCGTCGTTTTTCACTCTGCCAATCTCGAGATATTGCAGATTGAAGGCAGTTCACTTATTCAAAAAGAGAAATCGTATTTTGGTACTAGAATCCATAATTTAATTCTTCTTACATTAATTGAGGGTTTGAGCTACAAATAATTTTCAGTATCTTAAGCCAATTTGTGATCTTACAATTGAGCGTAAAAGCATCTTCATTACCTGAACAAGACGAGTAAATCTTGTTGAATTTTCATTTCAATCAAAAAAATTTCCTCAGGAGATTAATCTCTCCAATTTCAATTACTTGACTTTCTTCATTTTTTTCTCCCCTCGATAAATCGTATAAAATGGTAAAAATTCAGAATATAAAGCTATCCCCTACATCTCGAAATTCAGACTTAAAAATTTTTCGACTTTGAACCTCGACAATTTACTCAATACTGAGAATACTCATAATTTTATTCCTCATTCTCCCGAAAATCTTTCAAATCAAACACCCCAGTGAATTCATCTCCAACCTTTATTCCAAAAAGTCTCCACATCATCATATTCAAACAAAAAAAAATATGATCGATAGAAAATGAGAATTATTCTAGATAAAGAGAGAAATCTTAATTCGAAAAGAAAAATACATTTATGGCAACTGTTCCTCATATCTCCATGTGATGTCCTGACGTAAAAAATAATCTTGCTTCATCACGAGGGATCAAACGACCATTAAAAGCATGAAATTTCTTGTAGAATTTACTTATAGAGAAATTGAATGGAAAAACCTAGCGCAGGTTTTCGAGAATCAGCTGTGAAATTCCATTGGAATTGCATTTGAAATTATGTTTATTCTAGTGTTACATTTTTAGGAGAAAGTATTTTTTTTATTAACTGGAATTTCAAAAGAATTCTCATGGAATTGCAACGGAATTTCAATCAAATTTATAAGAAATTCCAACAAAATTTCTTTGGAGATGCAATAAAATTCTTGTAGAATTCCAGTCCAACTCATGAAATTTCAAGAAAATTCCCGTGGAATTGCAACAAATTGAAATTCCAATATCACTTCATGGATTTTCAATAGAATTTACCAGCAATTCCAATCAATTCCCCGGTGATTCCAATTATTTTTCCCTGCAATTCCCCTGAAATTCCTATGCATTTCCACAAAAAAATTCTATGGAATTTCCGTAAAATGTCTCGTGAAATTCCCCAAAAATTCCCATTAAATCTCAATAAAATTCTCATGCAATTCCAAAGGAATTTCTATGGAATTGCAATTAAATTCCACGAAAATTTTCTATTTCCAAACGCTGAATTCCTCTATTCAATTTCTCCATACTTCACTTGTCCACAAAAAGTGGATAAATTATTTTAGTCTAGTTCTTCGTCGTTTGAGGTTCCCTCGAGATCATCCTGGCGTCACAAGCTGACGAGTTTAGGTGGATTGGCGTCTGGTGAGCTGAGGTCAACAGCTGAGATGTTGTTTCTCTGTTGAGACGAGCAGGATGGAACGAGTGGAGTTGACACAGGGGTCAGACCAGTGCCCCCTTCCATCAACGACTCAAAGTTGAAGGGGATGCCACTGGAGGGTGTAGTGATGGGTACCCCAGCGACTTCATTAGCTGTCTTCATGAAAGCAGGGGTCTCGACTGTCTTGTAGTGAAGGGAGTCTGGTCGTTGCTTTGGCTCCACAAAGTTGAGGCTTGTCGGTCGGTTGTTGTTGTCGAAACCCACGGGAAGGGAATTTGGACGATTTGGCCGGAGATTAGGGGTCGATGTGTCGCGCTCTGATGTCTCGATGAAACTCGGAATCTCTGTTTTAATGATCGGTTTTACGTCTGGAGGGGAGGACGAACGCAGTCGGCAGACCGCACGGTGGGCTTCTAGGATGAATTCCAACTCGTCTTTTGCTTGCTGGAGTTGGTGGATCTCGTCCTGAAGGCTCTGCTTCTTGTGCTCCAAGCCCTCAGTTTCCTGGAAGGGGAGGAATTCATTGATTAGATGACTTCGGAGGTTCTTTTTGTAGAGGAATACATTTCATTGGAATTTTATGAGAATTGCGGTGGGATTTCATTGCAATTCCATGAGAATTCCAGTGGAATTTCATCGCAATTCCATGAGAATTCCAGTGGAATTTCATAGCAATTCCTAAGAGAATTCCAGTGGAATCTCATTGCAATTCCATGAGAATTCCATTGGAGTTTCACTGCAATTCCATGGAGATTCTTCTGGAATTGAGAATTCTATGGGAATTGCAGAGGAATTTACTTGGAATTGCATAGGAATTTCATGAAAACTGCACTGGAATTTCGTAGAAATTTCATTGCAATTCCATGAGAATTCCATTGGAGTTTCACTGCAATTCCATGGAGATTCTTCTGGAATTGAGAATTCTATGGGAATTGCAGAGGAATTTACTTGGAATTGCATAGGAATTTCATGAAAACTGCACTGGAATTTCGTAGAAATTTCATTGCAATTCCATAGAAATTCTTTGGGAATTTCACAAAAATTTTGCTGTAATTTCATGGAAATTACATTGATATTCCACCGGAATTTTCTTACAATTTCATTTAAATATGATTGCAACTCTACTGCAATTCCATGGAGATTCTTCTGGAATTGAGAATTCTATGGGAATTGCAGAGGAATTTAATTGGAATTGCATAGTAATTTCACAAAAATTGTACTGAAATTCCGTAGAAATTTCATTGCAATTCCATAGAAATTCTTTGGGAATTTCACAAAAAATTTTCTGTAATTTCATGGAAATTACATTGATATTCCACCGGAATTTTCTTACAATTTCATTTAAATATGATTGCAACTCTACTGCAATTCCATGGAGATTCTTCTGGAATTGAGAATTCTATGGGAATTGTAGAGGAATTTAATTGGAATCGCATAGTAATTTCACAAAAATTTTGCTGTAATTTCATGGAAATTACATTGATATTCCACCGGAATTTTCTTACAATTTCATTTAAATATGATTGCAACTCTACTGCAATTCCATGTGAATTCCACTTTTCATAACAATCCTATCCTCAACAAAATATGAAATTAATTTTGATCGAGCTTACTTCAAGTAGAGCATTGGTATGATCCATTCTTCGTTTGCGGCATCTAGCAGCAGCCATTTTGTTTCTCTCCCTTCTGACCTGTCGTCTCTCCTCCTCCTCCGGGGACATGCCGATTGTTCTGGTCGGTCGTCTGCCCCCCATGTTCCTTCTGGCCTGTTGAATCGGTCTCGACTGCTGATTCTCCAGGAGTACGGTATTGTGGTGCTGCTGTTGGCCGCACGTGTTCTGGGTCTGAGTCGGAGTCGGCTGGGAGGGTTCCACCAGGGGTGGTACAAAACCCGCTTCACGACTGTGCTGGCCTGATTCACTCGTTAATTCCAGAAATGTCTGCTCGATGTTGCGGAGGGTGGTTGGGGTCAATGTTGGAGTTGTTCGGGTGGGGACTCCACTGTGTAGACCATCTAGAGATGCCAGCTGTAATCATAAATGGTGCGGAGAATGTTAAATGAGAATTGATAATGATGATTGAGGACAGAGTCATCACTCCACTCGTCTCTTTGTAATTTTTTTTTTAGCCACAAAAATGAAAAAAAAATCGTCTGCTAGGGCTCCCTTTTGCCCCCAATGAATAATTTTTTATAAATACAGCCCCTATTTACGACCAACTCAGTAATCCGAACCACGTGTGTGTTCCTAATTTTGGCACTGATGGGGGGAACTCGCAATAAAAGTTGAAAAAAATATTCTAAAACATTCAACTCCGTGAACTGTAATTCCTCCCGTTATATTGACTCCGGTACACGATATCGCAGGAAGAGATAAAAATATCGGTGATCCGGTCGATATGATATCACGGAGATTACTGAGAAAATCAACATTTCTCTGAAATCGAACGAAAATGCGGAATTCCACGTATTTTCCCCACTCAATTCAAATTGTAGAATATATTTTCAACTGTGAATGTTTGGAGATAGACTCCTGTGTCATCGCTAAAATTAAATACACCCAAAAAGTGACTTTAATTGGCTTCCACCCACACAAGGCGCCCCAAAAAAACTGACGGAACTGAAAACATCAAAGACCTAATATCCATCTCTCTCTCATGACAGAGCAGAACTCATATTTTTCCACCAATGGGAAAATTTCAATTTTTTTTCCGCGTACGTTCACCTTCGGAGGTTCAAGAAACCTGCGATTGCCCGCCGAGTCATCGAAATCCGGTGCCGACAAGTCGAGACTTGTCGGCGAGCACGTGACGTCTCTCACGTACCTTCAAATTTCTCAATCGTAATTCGCACGGAAGGGAGACCATGGTGATGAACTTTTAGAAACGCTTAGTGAAGGTCTCAAGGACATGGTAGAGTCTTCCAAGAATAACAAAAATTAGTTCCTTATTTAGTTTTCGCGCAACATCACCGAAGGTAATAGAGATAGCAGAATTTTCATCTAGACTTTTTTGTAGTCCTCATTTTTCGCTACAAGAAATGTCTCTATAAAAATCTTGCTATTGCCCTTAGATTTCGAGATATTTTGTAAAAACTCTAGTTGCCGCGCAACTACCGGAATATCGGCCAATCTGGGAATTCCCTAGGAGGGGGCCCGGAATTTTTTTCTCATTATACATTCAATAGAGACTAAAAAAATAAGCGACACGTCCCTTGCCATTCTGCGCTGCATCCATCCCCCGGAACAGCCGTAGGTACTTTAGAATCGTCTCCAAGAAAATTTCTCAGTTTTCGACCAATATCTCCAAATCTAATGGAGATAGCCAAATTTTCCTGACAACCTTTTTTATAGTTCTCAATTTTGCTTACCAAAAAGGTTTTCACGCAAACTCCGCTATTTCTCTCAGATTCCGAGATATCCCCCAAAAACGGTGCCGCGACGCAACCACTCGAATATGAACCACCTTACTAAAACCCCAGGAATTGCTCGGGAATTTTTCTTCATTCCACATTCAATTAAGACCAAAAGAATAGATGACACGTCCCTCGCCATTTTACGCTGCATCAATTCCCTGGTGCACCCCGTGGTGCTTTAGAATTGTCTCCCAAGAGGATCTTTCTATAAATACTCACTCGTACCCTCATCGACTCGACGTTGCACCACCGAAAAAATTATCTAGTTCATTAATAATCGAGTTTGAGCCATAAATTAAATCCCAACGAGAATGCACCCGAAAATGAACAACATCACTTCACATGTGGGAGCCACCACTTCCCTATTCGCAATGACGTCAATGCCAGAGCAATCAAGACATATCTGCCTGTTTTCGAAGCAAACTTTTCCTCCTTCCATGAGATAATTACCTGTTGGTAAAGCAACTCCTGAGCAAGAATATTCGCTATGTCAACAGGATCGATGGTAGTCGCCATGTCGTCTTCGTTATTAAAATTATTCAATACGAAAGCACCGATTTAACGTAAATCGTTGCGTTATCGTCAAATATATTGTGAAAAAATTCCTCGAAATCGTTACAAAAATTGAAACACGACTGTATGGAATTGAAAAATCGTATCGTTCGTTCGTGAAGAGATCGTTTGGACGGCGATTAGTAGATTTAATTCTCCTCGAGCAAGTCAGCAAGTTCGAAAACCCGCGTCCTTCTCGGATGCGTCGTCAACCGACGCCTATCTAACACTGAAAAACAGTTTCAACTTTTCTTCCACCTCATACCGTCGTTGGGACTAAAATAGATATCGCGAATTTCGAGCATGTGCACACAGCCCACGGACGAACGATTCGGTAGCGTCACTTTCATGGGTCATTTTGAGAACACACACGCCAATTATTTTGATGAATTCGTTGGATATGGGGGTTTATTCATGATCTGGGGCTTCCCGAGGTTTTTCCGGAGATTCTAGGGGTGAAATAGAAGTCTTAATTAGAGATCTATGTTTAGGGCACCTGCGGAGAGATCATGGCAAGGGGCCAAAGAACACTCGTACTCACAGAAATAGTTATTAAGACGGATAAAAGATTAGGTGGGTCGTAAAAGTTTCAGCGGGAAAGCCATAAGTCGAGCCTAATCTGTGATTTTTGTTGAATTTGTGATTTTTTAAGCTTCAATGGCGCCACGTTTTATCACAGTTTACGGATACTGCTATCTTTTCACGAAACCGGAAACTGAGTTGACGAATGCGAATGTAGACCGTGTTTCAATGACGGATCTGATAAAGGAAGAGGACCGGATGATGTCGGTATGCCGCGGAATCTTGAGGAAGCTTCCGACGTTCCGCGATTCTTATTATTAGAATTGAAAATTTCGAAACGGAAGTGGAGTCATTTGCGTATCCGGAGTTGAGTTTTGGGTTTGGGGAATCGCGAGATTTTCGGAGGATTTGTTTGTTCTGATAGTTATGAGACAAACTTGGCAATCGTATATCAACAACTATGAGTGTGTCTGTGAGTGGTATCTTGGTGTTGATTGTCTTCTTCTAAAGTTCAAATTTTTCCGGAATGTAGTCTCTAATCAGGCATTCCTCCCAATAACTGAGAGCAGAGCCTTGATAATTTGAATCCAAAGGTCAGACCTTCAATCCTCTGAGGAATGCGTGAAACATTCCAGGAATGTCGGATCGGAAATGATGCGAATGTTGGGGCCTCCAATTTCAAGCATTCTTTCGGGGATAAAAACATGGTCTACATCAGAGACAATTCATTTATTTACGCTAATGTCATGTCATCATATTGATGACATTCTCATTATTTTGTGTTTCTTCCGAACAAAATAGTCTTTCTAAAATATGAAAAATAACGCCGGCTGCTGAATTCTCAAATTTTGATCATGTTTTTGAGGGCAAGAGTGCAGTTTAGATGAAAGTTAATTGATTTATTGACCTCAATGATTACATCTTATCACCGAGACATTTTCATAAAGTATTTCACTTCTTTCAAACAAGTTATCCTTTCCAAATATCAAAAAGAAATAGAAATAGCTAAAGGATCCGCTCTTGATCATTCCTTCTAGCACAAGTTAACTAAAAACCCTTTAAATTAAATCCTCAATCCGTTCATTTACATAAACAATGATATGTTATGACTTAGGCAACATCTTCCTAAAGTATTTAACTTCCTTCAAACAAGCTATTCTTTCCAAATATCAAAAAGGAATGCAAATAGCTAAAGGATCCTCTCGTGATCATTCCTTCTAGCACAGGCTAACTAAAGATACTTTAAATTAAATCCTCAATCTGTTTATTTACATAAACAATGATATGTTATGACTTAGGCAACATCTTCCTAAAGTATTTCACTTCCTTCAAACAAGCTATCCTTTCCAAATATCAAAAAGGAGTGCAAATAGCTAAAGGATCCTCTCTTGATCATTTCTTCTAGCACAAGCTAACTAAAGATACTTTAAATTAAATCCTCAATCTGTTTATTTACATAAACAATGCTATTTTATGACTTAGGCAACATCTTCCTAAAGTATTTCACTTCCTTCAAACAAGCTATCCTTTCCAAATATCAAAAAGGAGTGCAAATAGCTAAAGGATCCTCTCTTGATCATTTCTTCTAGCACAAGCTAACTAAAGATACTTTAAATTAAATCCTCAATCTGTTTATTTACATAAACAATGCTATTTTATGACTTAGGCAACATCTTCCTAAAGTATTTCACTTCCTTCAAACAAACTATCCTTTCCGAATATCAAAAAGGTGTGCAAATACCTAAAGGATCCTCTCTTGATCATTCCTTTTAGCACAGGCTAACTAAAGATACTTTAAATTAAATCCTCAATCTGTTTATTTACATAAACAATGATATGTTATGACTTAGGCAACATCTTCCTAAAGTATTTCACTTCCTTCAAACAAGCTATCCTTTCCAAATATCAAAAAGGAATGCAAATAGCTAACGGAACCTCTCTTGATCATTTCTTTTAGCACAAGTTAACTAAAGATGCTTTAAATTAAATCGTCAATCCGTTTATTTATATAAACAATGCCATGTCATCACTCAGACATCTTCAAGCAACTTTCCCCGAACAAGCTATCCTCACCAAAGACTAAATTTCATTAAGCCTGCAGCAGCTACACCAGCCTCAACTCTCTAAACTTAGCATCGAAATGGACACGTAAGTACATCAACGCGTATCAAATACTCAATAAACACTCCATGAAATATGATATGAAACGATGAAAAGTCTCTTATCTCAGTTTCAAAATACAAAAACCGGCCACTCGCTCGTAATTACAACTAAGCATAACAAGCACGATTCACCTTACTATCAATCCTCTGGAATTGAAAAAACAAGCTGATGGATTATGATCGATGGTATGAACAAAGGGGGCGTAGGACACAGTCGAGTGAAAAATCAATCAAATTATTTCAGTGTGAGACACACATTCAGTTCCGCCCGCATGCATTATTCATCAGCCAAAGAGGATTAACTCAATGTATTCCATTCTATTCTCACCATCATCATCATCTACATCGATGAAGATGAACAGTTGTCTTTATCTCGTGA